TGGAAAGGGATCAAGATTAGAAGACAGTGATTGGCAGGAGGAATGGAACAGAATATCGAATGCGAACACAGTTGGTATAGAACAGAACGTGGAATAACGAATCATTCCTATTTAATTACATGGCAAGTAATTTACCATAATGTTAATTCAAGGTATCGAATAATTTATTACAGTAGCGATCCTCTAACTCGTATGCTGCGTCCTTCTAATTAAAATATATGTATATTGTTATATGTTAAACCAATCTTTTTATATAATATAATTATATAATATTTTTATTAAAATATATAAAATTGTTACGCGCATTTTTAAATAAAAACAAAAATTTTATGAATAATAGTAATAATAAAAACAGTTTGTTTTTAAAATTTAAAATTAATATTTATATTATAGGTTACAAATAACAATATTTTATTGAAATGAAATTATGAATAACTGATAAATATTGAATTTCTTACGTCAAATAAAATAGAATATTAGAATAACACGACTCTTTATTTAATGTAGTATCTTTTTTTTTTAATTTTAAAATTTTCAATACACATTACGTTTGCTTACAAAAATATAAAAAAATCATAAAAATAATTGAATAAAAAAATTAATTATTATTTATTTTTAATATTAATCTTATCTCGATAGAGGGTGTATTGTGACGGCCGAGTGACTGTTCGAGTCCCGTCGGTGCCATGGATGTTTGTAGTGGTTTGGAATCCACTTTAAGCCTTAGTTCCCCGTCACATATGACCGTAGAGCGTCACGGAGACCAGTCAGACTTCTCACCAACATCATTCCCAAACTGTATAGGGGCAACTCAGCTCTAGGCACAGTGATGTGGTGTGGTGTGGTGTGGTGTGGTGTGGTGCGTGTGGTGTAGTAGGAGTAGTAATATTAGAACTGAAACACCCGGAGAAAGACGAACATTCATGCGAAGTGTTTCAAATCTGGACTCACTTTAGAACAGAACATTATTTGATAATGAATCCAGATTACTATTAAGGAAAATCGCATTTCTAGGATAATCATAAACATTCACTATTTATCAATTAAGCCCGGAGACAATGATACCAGGCAGTCAGTCTGATCCACGGCCTCCCTGGTATGTGCGGTCCTGGTTTAATTTAGGGAATATCGCAACGTTCTTATCGGAACACAGTGCGTGCTTCTCGTTTGAGAACGGCAAACACGGCAACCCATCAAAGGGCGAGTCAAACAGAACACGTCAGAATGGAAAGGATCAAGATTAGAAGACAGTGATTGGCAGAGGAATGGAACAGAATACCGAACGCGAACACAGTTGGCATAGAACAGAACGTGGAATAATGAATCATCCCTATTTAATTGCATGACAAGTAATTTACCATAATGTTAATTCAAGGTATCGAATAATTTATTACTGTTGCGACCCTCTAACTCATACTCCACCGCTCCTCCTACTAATTAAAAAATATATATTGTTATATGTTATATAATATAGAATATAAATGAATATAATATAATTATATAATATATGTTTATAAAAATATATAAAATTGTTACGCGCACCAAACTTTTTATAAAATAATTATGACATTTTATTAACCTGTTAGCACTAATAAAAAAAAACAGTTTTTTTATTTAAAATAAATATTTATATTATCAGGTTAAAAAAACAATATTTTATTAAAATGCAATTATGAATAGTTAACAAATACTTAACTTTCTTATGTCAACAACAACAACAACAACAAAAAAGAATATTAGAATAACTCTCTTGTGATTTTTTTTTACAAAACTTTTACTTTTAATTTTTTTCATGTAACACATTACGTCTGTTTACAAAATGTAATGTGTTATATAAAAAAAAAATCTTACTTAATTTTTGAGAATTTTCTTTTTATTCAACATGTATCTTGATAGGGGCTCGTGATAGAAACTAAAAGAAAGCCGATGAAAGAAACTTAAAAACAAGCTCGTGAAAGAAATTTTAAAAAATAGCTCGTGAAAGAAATTTAAAACCAAATCCAAAGTGATCAAGGACAAAAAAATCCCCGCTCCCCAAAACAATACGCATATATTTTATGGATAAGAAGCGAGATTCCCAAGAAAATCACGTATGAAAATATTTAAAGCATGTTTTTTTTTTTCTAATGCAGCTGCAAATACTTAGACCGTGATATTTATATGCCATAAGCAAAGGCTGCACCGCTGTTACTCATGTAGCATTACCCGGGGGCACGTGTAGCTTGAAGATATGTTGCGGACGCGAGTAACACTATCCCCACAACGCTGCACGATCCTATTAGACCGGGAACTATGGTTTGAAGTGGATTCCAAACCACTACAAATATCCATGGCATCGCCAGGACTTGAACCCGAAATCTGATTTCAGAAATAACTAATACATTGAAACCAGTATTTAAATGAAAATTTTGTTGTTGTTGTTTTTTATACCACTTGGTAGACAGCAACATCTCGATTAAGTCCAAGAACCCATATGGTCTCATGGAAGAAGGGAAAGGGGGGCGGTAAGTTCTTCTGTGATGGAGCCCCCATAGGTATAAGGTAGGTATACAGGTAGGATTGTCAGACCTACACCCAACGCTCTACAGTCATATTAGACCGGGAACTATGGTTTGAAGTGGATTCCAAACCACTACAAACATCCATGGCACCGCCGAGACTCGAACCCGAAATCTGCGAGACTGAACCCGAATCCACCAGGACTCAAATATTTAAAGCAAGTGGTGGGAAAAAGTCGGTTTTGAGCTTTTTGGTTGAAGTAGAACTCAATTAATTGGATTCGAATAATCGAAACTTTATATTAACTTCAATGGAAATAAATTGAAAACATTTATGTGATATTAATATCAAATACTACATGGTATCAAAAAATGGAGCCATAATAGTAATGTATTCTAGATGATTTTTTTTTCTGGTTAATTTATTCATCAAATGATGCATGAGTTATGCTAAGTAGAACCAGCTTAAATTCAAAAATGACCTTTAAAATAAACTCGTAATCCTAACTAAATAGGAAGAAAGATTCATTCTAGAGTAAGAATTGAAGAGGAGCTTACGAAACGCTAAGTCCGAGTAGCTGGAAATGTACTGAAGTACTTTCATTAATATATCTACCGTTTATTTAATCCAAATGTCGCATTCATTAGTACCCTAGTTGATTTCTAAAGCTTGTTCCACCACAGAAATTTCATACATCAACTTTTAATAACTGGATTAATTCGGTGCGGACATTATCAAGCAGATTAGGTAGTAATGATCATTTTAAAACTGTTTATTAATTTCAAAGGATCTAGACCAGATAAAATAAATAATGATGCGAATAACTTTAATGGAAGGCTGATTTCCTTGGATGTTAACAGAGAATTTTTGCTTTAGTATAAGACGTAATAGCTCAATTTAAAATATCATCGCATAACATTCATGTCATGTTAATGAAACATAAAATATACAATTATAATACCAAATCATTTACGACTGAAAACATTATTTTCATTAATATCACTTTTACAACTTATTTTAATACATGTATACATTCTTTACAAATATATTTTTTTAATACATATCAATTTTATAATTTGCCCGACTCGTGGCTCAATATCAACGTGCATGGTTGGTGAGCATTAGGGCTGAGGTTTAATCCACATTGGCAGCTTTGTTGTAGACACTTTTCAAAAAACGAGGAGATTAGATGGTGTTTGAGATGTTCAGCATCTTGCCGCATTAGTCGGACTTTGTGGTGGGAGTTTTCCGGGGTTTCACCCCTACGATACGCAAATGCGCAGTGTAGTTCTCCCTAAAAGTCCTCCATAGGTCCCGGTTCATATGACCATAAGAGCGCCACGGAGCCAAGTCAGACTTCTACCTACTGGTGCTCCATCAACAACAGAAGCTGCCCCATTTCCCTCCATCCATGACGTAGACCTCCATTAACGTAGAAAAATGATGAGCCATTCAAAGTATTAAATACCCATGAACAAAGTACTCATGGTGCAAAGTGCTCATAACCCAATTTATTTTTACTCATGGGGTGTCTCGCGCTGCCAGACATTGAGGAATACTCACAACAAGAAGATGTGGCTTGGATTCCCAATATTTTAAGCGGTGTAACATTACAATATATGGTGTTTGTGATGTTGAGCATATTGTACGGTTAGCAATGCAGGGGGAACTACTCCGTATTTGCTTTTCGTATAGGAGAAAACCCTGAAAACACCCACCAAGTAGTCCGACTTACGAGGCAAGATGTTGAACATCACAAACACCATCGAGTTTCCTCGTTTTTTAGATAGTGTCTACAACAATGACGGCAGCGGATTGAACCTCCGCCCGAATGTTCACCAGCGGTGCACATTGCCTGAGTCGGGCATTCTTGTAATATAGTAATAGTATTTAAGCCGAGATAAATAATTTTTGATTAACTAGTCGGAATAGAAAGTGTGTTCTTGTGGTTATGTTGGAGTAGGCATGATAAATCCGTAGAGTGGAAAGTGTTTCGGATAGGCTTAAAGAGATGGTGAGATACTACTGACTCGCTGGGTTATTCATATAAAATTGCAGTGGAATACAGTATCGGTTGAGGTAATGACTTTCACTTATATAAAAACATCGCCTACCTTATCATCATAATTATTTTTTTAATATTTTTCTTCAGCATGCACAGAATTTTAGAATTAATTAGAATTGCAATTTACTTTGTTCATGGGTATTTGTTGTTGTTTCTTATCCCACTTGGCTGGCCATGCCCACGAGCTCATACGTACTCATGATTGAAGGCGAAGAAAGCAGCTTCTGTTGTGATGGAGCACCCGTAGGTGGAAGTCTGATTTTGGCTCCGTGACGCTCTTACAGTCATAGGAGACCGGGACCTACGGCTTAAAGTGGATTCCGAACCACTACAAGCATCCATGGCACCGCCGGGATTCGAACCCGAAACATGTGGGTACCGAGCGCCAGAGCGCTAGACACTCGGCCAATTAGGTCCCAAATTTGTGAATGGCAACGAAACGCGGTATTCCCAGGTGGTCACCCACCCAAGTACTGACCGCGCCCAATGATGCTTGACTTCGGTGAACTAACGTATTACCGGTATATTCCGGTATATTCAGCATGGTATGAACCGGTATATTCAGCATGGTATGGCTGTTGGCATGGGTATTTAATACATTGAATGGCTCATCATTTTTCTACGTTAACTGTACCTGATATATATTATACTTGAATCTATTTTTAATAGAATTTTAACTATTTCATTTTTGTCAATTAACATTTAATCTATTGTAAGTCTATAATTTCTGTGCCATGGATGTTTGTAGTGGTTCGCAATACACTTTAAATCGTAGGTCTCTGTCTAATATGACTGTAGAGCTTTTGTACGTAGGGCTGACAACCCTTCCTCGTAAAAAGAAAATATCTGCTGTCTCGAAATATTCTAATGAGTAAACATTGAAAAATAACAGAAAAATTTTCAAAATTTCTGTAGGAATATTAGTTAGGTAGCCAGTAGGTAAACGGCCATGATCCATCAGGGACTGTAGTTCCAGGGAAATAATTAATTAATTATATAATTTAAAATTTAAAAAAGCAATGCGTTATGCATTATTTTTATGGTTTTTTTTTTCTAATAATGCAATTTATTTTTATTCTGTTAATCATTAAATTGAAGTTTTTTTAAAAATTATAATTATTTATTCGTAATATTCTAAAATACATTTATGACAAGCAAAAATTTTTATTATTTTTTTGTTTGACTGGAGTAAAAACTAATTATTTTATTTAAATTTTTAAAACATTTTTTATGTGGCTAATTTCAATATTTCAAAAAAAAATTGTTGTAACCACTTTTGACATAGAAAGCGATTTAGAACGATTTTTAAAAACGAAATAAACTGAAATGCATAAAAAAAAAACAAAATTAAGGCGGCATCTTTTTTATTTACTTAAACCATATTTTAATATGCGGTTGATTTTCAAAAAAAGTTGAAGGGGAAAAAAAATTGAATAAAATGAGATTGAACGCCATCTTTTTTTTTTTTTTTATCCTCATAAAACAAGTGATGAAATTAATTAAAAAAAAAAATCATGAAAGAACAAGTTGATAAGGATATAAGTAAAGCGAAAAATTGGCGCATGCAAATATTTAACTGATTAAATTATTTTTTTTTTTTATTGTTTTGCTTTACTACATTTAAAAAAAAAAGTTATATAAAGGTTTTGAAAAATTAGATAGCTAAGGTTTTAAAGACACATTTATGCTCATGTATTTTTTTTTTTTAAACTGTGATGTTGATAATAATTTTTAACTGTAACTGAGACCAACGTTTCATTTTTTTTTTTTTCTTATCAGACGATTTTTTTGCATTTTTATTTATTTATTTTTTTTGTGTTATCGTTTTAAAATTTTTATCGCTAATACACTTAGAATACGCCGCTAGATGCATCCAGTATTCATTACGCCAGAAAAAATCGTAGATATTGTAAAAAAGAAATTATGTGGTTCAATGGAAGTAAACTATTTCTAATAAATTAAAATGATCTATATATAAAAGTTTTCATCATTATTGCTTGTTTAACTCTGGCGCTCGGTACCACAGGTTTCGGGTTCGAGTCCCGGCGTTGCCATGGTTGTTTGTAGTGGTTCGTAATCCAATTTAAACTGTAGGTTCCCGTTCTAACATGATCATAGAGCGTTACGGGGTAGTGTTACATCGCGTCTGTAGCTTATCTTCAAGCTACACGCACCTTCTAGGTAGTGCTAAGTGTGTAATGTTGCTGCAGCGCTTGCCTTAAGGCATCTAAGACAGCTGTCTGAGTCCTTGCCAGCTGCATTAGAACAAAAAAAAATATTTTATTTTTATCCTGTTAATCATTAAATGGGATTTTTTTAATTATAATATTTGTAATATTCTAAAATACAGTTAATGAAAAAATGATTTTATTATTGTTATTTTTTGTTTGGCTGGAGTAAAACTAATTATTTTATTTAAATTTTAAAACGTTTTTAGTGTGGTAATTTAAATGTTCAACCAACTTTTGACATAACGATTTAGAACGATTTTTAAAAACGACATAAAACTGAAATTCATAAAAAAAAAAAAAAAAAAAAAAACGTAAACCATATTTTAATATGCGGTTGGTTTAAAAAAACTTGAAGGTAAATAAAATAAAAATAGAGTAAAATGAGGTTGAACGCCATCTTTTTTTTTTTTATCGTCTTAAAACATGTGATAAAATTAATTAAGGAAAAAAAAAATATGAAAAATTAAGTTGATAAGGATATAAGTAAAGCGAAAAGTTGGCGCATGCAAATATTAAACTGATTAAATTGTTATTTTTTTTTATTGTTTTGCTTTTACTACATTTAAAATAAAAAAAGTTATAAAAGTTTTGAAAAAATTAAATAGCAAAAGTTTTAAAGACACATCTATGCTCTTGTATTTTTTTTAAACTGTGATGTTGATAATAAACTTTTAACTGTAAATGAGGCCAAAGTTTCATTTTTTTTTCATCAGAGCAATTTTTTTTTTTTATTTTTATTTATTTATTTTTTGTGTGATCATTTAAACTTTTTATCTCTTAACACGTTTAGAATACGTCGCTAGGAGATGCATCCAGTATTCGTTACGTCAGAAAATATTGTAGATGTTATAAAGCAGGAATTGTGTGGTTCAATGGAAGTAAAGTATTTGGAATAAATTAAAATATTCCAAAATCTATCATTCTATAATTCCAAAAATTAATCTATATCCTCAAATTCTCAATCAAACATTCTATATTCCAAAATTAATCATTCTATAATTTTTAAACACATTATTTATTTTTATTCATTATTAATTTTTTATCATTTAAAATTTTTTACCTCTGATATGCTTAGAATTCGTCGCTAGATGCATCCAGTATTCATCAAAAAACATCATCAATATCATAAAACAAGTATTATGTGTATCAATATCAGTATTATGTGTATACTTTTATACCTTTTTTCTAATAAAAGTAATTTATTTTTCGTATACAGTCACACTCACTCTGTTAATCATTAATTGGGAGGTTTTTTTTTAAATTAAAATATTTGTAATATTCTAAAATACAGTTAATGCTAGAAAAAATGTTTTTATTATTGTTATTTTTTGTTTGGCTGGAGTAAAAACTAATTATTTTATTTAAATTTTAAAACATTTTTTTTGTTGTAGCTAATTTCAATGTTTCAAAAAAAAAAATATTGCAATCATCTACCCAGATGCTGCCTTTAAATGTATTGGATATATATAGCGCTTGTATATACATATATATAGTAATATATATATCTTGCTTGTAAATAAAATTTAAAGTGTTCCCATGAACCTGAATGTGGCCCTCTTCTTGAAGCCGTACAGGTTTAGTATAGACCGAGACGTTACAATACAATGAAATGAATATCTTTAATTTAGTTCTAAAGGCTATAGATTTCTAATTATATTCTTTCTATATATATATGGAAAATGATTATATTACCTAAATCTGCCTCATGCCATCTATGAAGATACGGAATTTCGTCCCAATAAATCGCTTCTTCCTTCATCCCATTGTTACGTACATCGTCACAGCTTTGTTTTCTGTTCTGTCCGATACAGAGAGGATCGCTTCCTTTTTGGTCCATCCAGTTATTCCGAGTCAGATTCCGTTCAATTTCCTCTTCATTATTTCTAACAAAAGAAAAACTTTTTGTTTCCTTTCCAGTTTGGTGTACTGTGAAACTTTTCCATAAATAAAAGGAACGTTTGAAAAGAGAATTATGGAAAAATTGAAGGGGAGTGAAGTATCGGGCAAAACTTGTTTACACGAGAAGAAAATCTGTTGGAGATATCAACATCGATTCGTGGAACATGCCATTATACTTATTTCATTCCTTGTTTTTCTCTTTTAAGAGTTTTGAAACTGTCAATAGATTTTTCTCTTGAGTATATTTCAAGTTCCGCTCTTATGTGCTTCGAAAGGTTTCTTAGTTTTGAGTTTGCTAACGAGGGCTGTACACATACTTGGGAAAATAGATATTCTAAAATGCATATAGTGCTCGTGACCAATTTTCCATTGATAATAAAACAAATTGCCATTTTTTAGTTCTATTTCATTCGTATTTCATATTATTTTTTATTGAATTATTGTAGCTTGGTAAGGACTAATGGATAATTTAAAGGGTTTACGTAAACTTGAGCTCGGCATTCGATTCAGATTTCGAACTCACAAAGCTGTGTTCGAAAACTAAATCGAATGTTTTCTTATCTTTGCCACAGTTTCACGATAACTATGTAATCCAGAAAATCTTCCCGGAGGTTTGTAGAAGTGGTAGAAAGTTGTGAATCATTTAACTGCTTTTAAATATATTGTTCAAATCGCAGTGGAATCAAGGAATCCAACCTCCTGTGATGTTATTGCAACCCTACATCCAAGATGAGTGTGTATGTGTCTCACGTGAACGCGTCATCATCATTATAATGTTTATTGGATTAAAAGTCCCCAAAAGACGTATTTACATGAAAGAACGGAAAGACGTACTTACAAAATCTTTCTGTGAGGTTCGTAGAATTGGTAGAAATATATGAATCGTCTACCGCCTTAAAATGTATGGATTCACCAAGAAGTGTCAAAGAAATCAAACCTTATTTGGGTTTTGGTAATCCTGTTTCCAAGATGAGTGTGTTTGTGCCTCACTTATGAACACGACACTATCATTAAATGTTGATAGGATTAAAAGTTCTCGAAAAGACGTACTTACATGAAAGAACGAAAAACTCACAAAATCTTTCTGTGTATGTTCTAGAAGTGGTAGAAAGTTGTGAATCATGAACTCAGATGTTTCCTTTAAATGTATTGTATTCAAATCTGGGTGGCAGCAAGAAATTCAACCTCCTTTGAGATCATGGCAATCCTACATTAAAGATGAATGTGTTTGTGTCTCACATGAACGCGACGTCATCATTATATGTTGATAGGATTAAAAGATTCTCGAAAAGACGTACTTACAAAATCTTTCCGTGAGGTTCGTAGAAGTGGTAGAAAGTTGTGAATCATCATCTATCCACATGGCACCCTTAAATGTATTTAAAAAATAAAAATTATATGCTTGTAAATAAAAATTATAAAT